TGAAACTGTTTTCCTCAGATCTCAATCGTGTATATTTGTAGACGTTTTGGGATTTTTACAGGACTCATGGTTATAAGTTCATTAACATTACGTAGTAATCGTGAAAACCTAAGAACTCTATATGGTATCAAATGTGTAAATTTTTTTTCTTAAATTCGAATTGTGTCACTTTATTATTAAGGTTGCAATATTAATCTGTTTAAAAAAAAAAAAAAAAAATTATTTTTATTACATATAAGTCCCCAATGCCACCACCTACTGCAGCTGGAAAGCGACATTATACACGATAATGGCACACGATCTGGATGATGTTCACTCGCTCAGAACTCAAAGATGTGTAGACCAAAAAAAATTAAGTTGCTGCAAAATATAGGTCCAGTGAATTCGACGTTACTTACAATTGAAATTGATATGGGTGATTTTATTAAGTACATCGTAAATTAAAATATTGGTACATACATCCACTTCCAGTTAATACAGCATTAAGTTGGAGTTATAATGAAAGATATAAACTCGCCCTCTGTTTACATTGGCTTACCTACTTCCATCTTACAGAAACACATGCCCACGTATTCACAGGTGAAGTTTTTTGCTTCCTCTCTATACACCTATTAAGGACCAGTAGGGAGCTTCATTCTTTGTTTTTCCCTATGTGAGTTATCGCAAGCAGTCTCCATTTGTCAAGGGGCAGCAACATGGCTCGTTATTGATTGGTATGACCGCACAGAGACGGATTACGTGTTTATATGCGACAAAATGGAGAATTTTTCACAATAAAACAATAACATCATAATGATGTCCGCATACACATTAACAATAACAACATTAACATAACTACGCACATTGACACACACACAATAACAAGATTGACAAGTGGAGTCCTTAATATTTAAACTCTGTACTATTCGTTTTGCAGCAGGGTTCAAAATTTATCAAGATATTTATTTTCTTTGATAATTTTCATGATGACTATTTCATTATTATTCGATAATTACCCTTGGTGATTCATAGTTTTGTCTCTTTAATTTTTTACTAAAATGACAGACAGTGAGAAAACTAATTAAATCTTCAGGAAAATGATTTGTTTGTGACTTTTTTAGAGAATGATATTAGACACGTTAAGAATACGTATCGGATACAAATACATGACACGACATTGCTAGCGGAGATTTTCGATGCTCTAATTAATTTTATAAATACCAAAATAATTTTCAAGGTATATTTATCATGATATTTATCGTGGTAATTATCAATGACAATCACTTTAAAGTGATTTTCATTGATAATTTCATAACCCTGGTTTGTAGTAATTGATTTATGGTAGATAACAAATATTATTATCATTGCGCAATTACATTAGCGCAATACGCTTTGAGCACACAAAACGAGGCGCCATTGTTGAAGTTGACGACGTTAAGAGATTTGGCAAATCAGTCCGACAGTCAAAGGGTTCGGGAAAAAAACGAATTTGGTGTCAGAAAAAGTATTTCCTTTCATGTAAAGATAACACTGTTGTAGCTGGGTTAATCGGGGATTTCGGTTGTTTGTAACACAGGTTTTGACAGGCGGGGTCTAACAACATTGTGTCGTATTGTATTTGCACTTTATTGTATGTAACGTGACAATTGTGTAAATGTACAATGAAACAAGAAGCTATATACTCTGTCCATAACAATTAAGAATACTGTAGGTCCTTCTGTAAGAGTTAATCCAATGAAGTATTGCCACCATACTTGTTTCTGCTGCCAAGGAATATAAGCTTTACCACGTTCCAGTTTTGAAGGGTAAAGGTGCTAGTGAAATTACAGACGCATGGAATTTGTCAACTCTGTATATCAGGGTCACTGAGTGGCATTGCAAATGTTATGGATGGCCGTGTCGCTTACCACCGGGCGCAGGACTTGTTCGTCCCGGCACTTGATATCATGAAAACAATACAGAGTACTAAGAAACCAACCTCAAAAGTCATTCATCCTCCAGTTTGCCACCCTTAGAGGTGGAATATTTTTTTTCAAATTTAAATGGGACCACATCTGGAGTATCCTAGGTAGCATACATACAAAAAAAATATAGTCGAAATGAGAACTTCCACCTTTTTTGAAGTTGGTTAAAAAGAAACGAATTTATGACAACGCTCCAATACATAATGTATTATTTACAGTTCCACTGTTTAATTAGTTGCTATAGTTTTGAGATTAAAAAAAATGCATAAGCTTACATTTTGTTTACAATTCTCACATTTAGAAAATTATCCAGGTACTTCCTGATAACGTCTTTGAACAAAAATTTAGACTCAATAAAACTTATGAGTTTGGCGTTGTATCCAATACAAACATAAAACGGGTCTGAGGTATTAACGACTGAATAAATCTAAAAGTTATAAAACGAAGGTCGCAAAGGACACAAACATACTTGTTCGGGTACGTCCCTTCGTCAAAAGTCTTGCCACTGACAGTCCGTCCCCTCGGGCAGATAATAGCTTCTCCTTGTAAATATTACGTATCGAGGATCTCTATTAGGTAATTATTTCTGAGTGAAAACCTTCCTCCACTATGACAAACAGATCTCGAAAACCTTCAAAATGCGTACGCTTTATTTCCATCGAGATAAAGTTGGATTTGTGAGTAAAAATAGCTGTCTAATAGCTAATGACCTATTTTTGTCTAGCGAGACGTTGTCTTATGTTACGATCAATAGATATCGTGCTATTGGAAAACATATTGGATCTTGCGAAGCGATACGTAGATGAGGTCATTTCTAGTTTATACTGCTACCGATCGAAGATAAGTTTCTTAGGTATTTGAGAGTCTCGTGAAGACGTTATACAGAATTTATTATTCTTATATATGTAGACATACCCATAAGAGAAATACTGTTTTTCTGGAAACGATTACGTATACACAATCGGCAGCAATAGAATAGGAAATTTTCATTGAAATTATAAAGATTCTGCACAAACGTTAATTCGTACGGACGGATTCAAAAAAGTTCACGGTTATTATTTCGTTGAATATATACGTGCATACATATTAAAACTATACTGACTGTCTCTATTCGGGGTTTATGCCGGATCTCACAGGACTACTAGCTTTTCAGCGATTGAAAAATCAATAAACTTGTTTGCTATCATAAAGATCAGTCAAAATGCAGTCACACCTTTACTATTACTATATATCTGTTTTTGCCGCCAAGCTGTAATGTAAGCATTACTCCGGGTTTGAAGGGTAAATGTGCTGGTGAAATGACGTGCTCATGGGACTTGTCAACTTTATGTCTTAGAGTGACGGGTGCAATGGTAGTGCCCCTCATATCTTTGCGATAAAAACTCCGAATGACACGGCAACTGTTATGAGTAGACGTAAGCTACCCATAACATCTCTGGGTGCTCGATTTGTCTGTCCCGACACTTGATGTCATAAAATAAAACTATAAATCGTTTACCACAAAACTGAACATGATTAATCTTATCGTCATTATTGTAACAGTATGTCGTTATCAAATTCTTAATCTAGCTCCAAGAATGAGCTATCAACTGGAATAATACACAGATAACGTACCCTGGCCATATGTGTTCCCTAAATAGGACACCGAGTATCCTTTAAGAACAAAACAGTAGCAAATAAATCCTCCTCTTACAAAATGATCTACAGGACAATGTGGAAAACATCGGTCGTAATCCGAAGCTTATCATTGTGTGGGGTGGCCTCACTTGCCCCCCGAGATAAATCATGTCGCTGGGCGAAACTCGTCACGTGCCTCGTCCGCGCCTGTACTCGGCTCGAATCGAGAAAATGTTCACGATAGTTTCTTTGACGGTCCCATTGAAAGTATGCAAACGGCGTCGGAAATTTGGCTCGATTTCAGTTTTCGGCACGGATTGACTACAGCGTGAGAGGAATCGATAAAAAATATAAACTAATGTATCAAGTCATCACTGCCAAGGTAGCTAACTTGATATGAAACTATTGTAAAAACAGGTGATGTAGTACGAGCGGTAGGTATTTCAAGGGGTTCCATATCGACCAATAAGAATGAGCTATTTAAAGGGGCTGTCTTAGAAACTACCAGAAAGAATATCGTTCGTATATGGGCTATTGCCAACGGCATCATCGATTCGACATGTGACGGCCATGCTGCGAATACTAACGATATCAGAGAACAGTTCAGCTGGTTGAGGTTTGAAATCGTGTCGTTATGTAAGTTGGTGTAGAAAAGAAACGAGACTGGAAGTCTTTGTTTAAATTTAAGTTGTAGTAGATGGCGCATGTGTACATAAGTACATCTAAAATTCAAGAGAAGATTCGGCTAAAGAAGTTGTTACAGTTTGCCTTGGTGCTGCTTCCGCTAAAGAGTAGGCTTAGCAGTCCAAAAGCTGTCCAAACATTCTATCCTCTTGGGTCTCCAGGGCATGGCCCGCAATGAAATGTTTTACCTTTGACTACAAGCTTTCTTCTATTAAGCATATTTAGTATACCATTTCCCAAAGGAATAACTAATTTGTAGGTTAACCATTAAAAATTATTATACACCAATTTGGTTAAGCTGTGTAATGCAATGTTAAAGTTCAGGGAGCATAAATTTGCGGTCAGAACAACAAACTTATCAACAAAAGCAGAGTTAAAGGATTAAGAGAGATTTGAATAGGTCAAAAGATGTCCTAAGTTGGCCAAAAATAATAGAACTCGTATTTCCCAGTGGCAAGAAGCCCCTAACTAAACATAATATCGCTTCGGAACACCGAGCAAGGGAAAGGTCCGGCTTCTAATTATATTTGCAGTAGATTTATTTCGGAAGGTCCGTTTGTCAATGTTCACGGTTAAATTAATTAAGGAACGGTCACGGGTTCGATTCCCGGCTGACGTATTTGAATGGTCATTTGGAATGGAAGTAATTAGGATAAAATATCTATGTTCTATTCCAGATTATATTGTTTTTGGGATTATTTTACCTTTGTTTTTATTACTACCATTTTTCATGGAGTTGAAACGAAAACGAGCCGTAAATTAAACGGTTTATTTTACCTTTGTTTCATAATTTCATAACAGAGATTAAGCAGCGCTCTTTTGTAAAAATTGTTTCATGAAACCTTCAATCCTCCCTAGCCCGGGTAGGTTGGCTTTTTGGTACCAATCTTTGTCATAAAGCTGTTCAAGCCACTGGTGAATTTTAACAAATTTGTCACTGATAGGCACCACCAAATGGAGAGTTGTCACTGTAGCCACAGCAGAAATATCAGCCAGCGTAATCTGATCTGATGCCAGAAATTGTGACGCTTGAAGGTATGTCTCCAAATATTCATATACTTTTTCAGTCTTGTTTATAAGCTCTTTAGAAATTGTCTTTGCTTTGTGTTTCAATATTGATTCCATGATAGCTCGGAACGTGGTGAAAACTATAGAAGCTTCAAAATACATTCTCTGGTCAATAATTGCTCTAGTTTTGAAATCACTTGGGTACAACTGAGATCTCTTGTCAGCTCCGTACTTCGAAACAAGGTACGTCATGATAGCATGACTATCAGCGAGTATGAAGTCGCCGTCTTCGATCAAGGGAACTGTGTGGATGGGATTCTTCGCAAGGTATTCCGGCTTGAATTGGTCTCCTGCGACGGTGTTGACCTCTTTGACTTCCATATCAAGGCCAAGCAATTCTTTAACCATGAGCACAGCACGACTGGGCGGGCTGCCGTCAATTTGGTGCAAAATAATTTTCGGCATTTTGGTGAAACAAATTAAACACAGTCACAAATTTCCTGTACGACTGACTGTATTACGTAAGCGCTGAAGTCAAATAATCGTGGTAAAGATAAATAACTATCGTAAATTGGCTTTTGGAATTCAGCGATATGATTATTGTGTCTATCTGTTCATTAATTATCGTCGATTGATAATGATTCTCGTTGCGAGTAAATAATGTAGTGACACCAGTATCGTTGTTTTCGGTCTCACAACGCTTGGGACACGGGGCTTGAAGGGGAGGCGGATCATTAGTGCAAGTTGGAACATGCTATCGCCACTTTGGTTGCTCGTAGCAATTGTCTTTATGAAGCAAGTTGTCATTCTGTGTTCTAACAATAAGTGAATCGATAGCAAGGATCTTTCATAAAGAGTTTGTGCCTTCAGACCAAGGGGACAATGAACACTTTTACCAATAGGTTCTTAAAAGACCTCGAAAACCCAACATCAAAATGAACTGATGTTGCGTTACGACAATGCTCCTTGTCACTCAGCATTTTCAGTGAACCATTTTATGACCAGTAAAAACATTTCTGAGGTTCCTCAGCTTTCTTAACCACAGAATTTCAGTTCTTCTTACTTTTGCTGATTCCAATATGCGATGTGGAATTACGATGTTTTTGGAATAAAACACTTTGTATGTAAAATTCAGAGGTACCGAAGAGAAATTAAAATGCAATTGATTCGATATCGTTAATACGTTTAATTTGAAACTTGCAATGTTTTGATCACATAACGGAGCAAACGAGCGAAGGTCTCGCGTTTTTCTTTACCTCGTAAAGTACGTATGAGAAGTAAAAGGGATAAAAAAATATACATGAGAAAATTCCGAAGGGCAGAGTCAATAAAAACATGTTATGTACCTACTCAATAATCTTTAACGGTCCTTTGTATAAATAAATTGTTTTATTTTTCTTGCAGACAAAGGTTAGTTATTAACGTATGTCGTGACGGATGTAGTATAGGATGACTGTAGGCACATTAAATGGTAAATTACAATCGTGTAAATGTTATACGACGAATAAAAACGATTTCACGGGTTACTTCATCAAGTGACTAACGACAGGACCCGTCATTCAATATGCCATAGTTTTAGTTATTAATCGTAATGTGATTGTAACAAAAGTGTAATTGAAAATGTCATTAGACACAAATGCGAGCCTGCTGATGACACCTGGACATCGTTATTGGATATGTGTGTACTTTTGAAGCAAGTTACACGTTACTTTAACAATGTCATTTTAATTAAAAACTTTACAGAGTAAAGCTCTAAGTTTTTCACTTTCGTTTTGTTTCTTTTCAGATTCTATCCTAAAATTGTATTAAATTTTAAAGTGAACACTTTAATTTTATCAGAAATTTCTGAGTCATTAAAATAGAACTCGGTAGTGTGTATGATATTTATTTCAAGAAATAAAAATATAATTAAAATAGACATACATTGTTATTTTATAAAGATATAATGGGAAGTGACTTAGTCGAACTTGTGATACGTTCTTGGTATTTTTCACAGACAGCAAAATCAATTAACTTTACTGCCTCTGTAGCCGAACGGTCACCATGTTAGTCTGTCACGCGGAGATCCCGCGTTTGATTCCGTCGGAAGAAATATTTTCCTCATGAGTTTGGGTGTATTTTGTAGGTCTATGTATGTGCCATGGCATCCGCGATACAGGGTTTCCCTAGTAGCGGGACTATGAGTGTGTGCGTTATTAATGTAAAAAAAAAATAATATGAACAAGGGTCTCTTTAAGGGAGAGAGTTTTAGGTTACATGCGACCGTGCTGGCCAAACGTGGGTTAGGAATTATCTCGTCTTCTTAGCATATTTCACTACAAGTTTCGTCACGATGGTTTCCTTCATAATTATGGATATTCAACATTAGATAGAGAGATAGATAAACACTTTATTCATTAGTATGACACAAATAGAGATTGAATACAACAGGAAAAATAAAATATTTTTTGTTACAGCAGTGAAATGGCGCTGACTCAGCATATGCCTAAGTTCCCTAAGGCGCTGCTTTTTCAGCCAGAACCAACGAGAATCAAGAAGTAATTTGTAATGATGGTCTAATAAACGACTACGAGGGAAATTGTTCATTAAAATAATAAATGTTATAAAGTGTCAATAGTGCATCTAAAGTAATCTGTTCAATAATGCGGATTTGAATATGTAAGTGTAAATAAGTAAGTAAGTGAAAATAATGATTGTGAATAGGTTTTCGTGTAATAAATCAAAGTAAAAAATGTCTATTTAGAAAGACTACGAAGAAGAGTACACGGGGATATGAAAACTCATATTCATATTAAAATTTTAACAAAGACAACATTAATCACTTCAGTACCACCCGTCTATTTGAACGGTGTTGCGTTAAATAGAGTTACGCGATTTAAATATCTTGGCCACTGGGTGTCGGAGGATCTCACGGATAATGAGGACATAGAGAGAGAGCGACGGGCGTTGGCTGTTAGAAGCAATATGTTGGCGCGCAGATTCGCACGTTGCACAGTACCCGTGAAGGTGACACTTTTCAAGGCATTTTGCCAATGCTTCTATACGTGTAATCTGTGGGTCAACTTTACGCAGAAGACAATCAACGCTCTGCGCGTTCAGTACAACAACGCGTTCAGGGTTTTATTGGGTTTGCCACGGTACTGCAGCGCATCAGGCATGTTCGCGGATGCCCACACGGATGGTTTCCATGCCATCCTTAGAAAGAGAGCTGCCTCATTAATAAGTCGTATCCGTTGCGGCACGAATGAGATTCTGCGCGTTGTGGCTGGTAGAGTGGATTGCCCGATCATGCTACATTGCATGAAATTGCATTTAAAACCATGTCGATGATTTAATATTTAATTTAATTTGTTTAATTATTCTATGTTTTTAAGTTGCCTTTTGTTTATTTTAATGTGTGTAAACTTATTGAATTAACTGTAAAATATGGACTGTAGTTGTCTGAATAAATGATTTTTTGATTTGATTTGATTTTGATTAATCATCATCGCAAACTCCAACTGAAACCATCTTTTTTTTTATTCTAATGTAAGTGTGCATTTGACCTCCATCTCCCCTGATGGAAAGTGACGATGAGGTCGAGGATGGAGTATGCACACCTAGATAATGCCTACTCACTCTCGCCTTGAAAAGGTCCAAGTTATAACGTTCAAGGAACAAGTCTGCAGGCAGGGAATTCCACTCCATAGCCGTTCGCCATATAAATGTGGAAGCGTAACGCTTCGTGCGAATCTTTGGAATATCCACAACATAGGGATGTCCCCCTATCTTTATTTCATAGATATGCAAATTATACTTGGCATTGACACATTGCTTTTTTTACTCTTTTGCAGCATTAGAGCTCCTTGTGAAAGAGTTCGTCCCGGGAAGTACTGCCATCTTACCTATTTCTGCCGCCAAGCAGTAATGCGAACTTTACTGCGCTCCGGTTTCGAAGGGTGCTGGTGAAATTACAGGTACATGGGAATTGTCAACTCGTGTCTCAGGGTGTCGGGCGCAGTGGCAGTGCCCCCTCAGATCTTTCAGGTCAGACCAGGCACATGACTAGTACTCGTATTCTAAAGTCTAGTACTAGTATTCTAAAAAAAACTATAGTGCAACAAAAGCAAAAGCTGTACAATACAGTTACTGCGCCTAAGGACAGTCCCATATCTTTCTACAGAAGTTTTGTTTATACTGCCCCTCCCTATCAACCTCTTGGTTATGCGGGAAGGGCACTATGACCTGTGCAAGCTCGCTTGCACAGGGACCATCTAAGTCAGGTCCTAACCCCGGATCAGCACGTTTACACGCACTTCATCCGGTTCTCTGTATGGCCTTAGGTGAGTCGCCCAGGGTGCATGTACGATACCCTCCCTTTTTTCCAGATAGGTACCGGAGTTGTAGGCGCGCTCACCTCCCGTCGCGCTCCGCACGACTAACGGTTGCCACCGCTGAGCCGCCGACTCTAAGCCGACCGTAAATTTCCTCGTTGGTGGCGGAGCTGTAAGTTACGCTCACTTCCCGACACCGAAAGAACGGTGCCTCTCCAGTTCCCAAATACCTATGCGGCCGGTGGGACCGGAAGACGTCTAGCTCATCCTCTACTAGCCTACTAAAAATCTCTCTTATGAATTTGCCTTACTAATTATTTATTTGAATCTCATAAGACATTTGTATAGTCGGCGACACATGTCCGCACACATCTCCCACGAGATTCAAATAAATAGCGTTAAATTGCCATCGCAAGAAATCACTCAGGCTACAGTTTAATTAGCTTAGATAATGAATGGCTAGTGGAGTTAAGAAACAACGATTTCAATGTGTTATTTAATTAAGCTATGGTAATTAATTAGTCTGCTCCGTTGGCTAAATAAACGTTTGAGTGTGATTTACTATTACTTTCTCCTGTCCACAGAAATTAAGGTTTTAATAGTGGCAACTCATGTATCTACGGTGGCAACACTGCCGATGTTGATAAATAATAAATTAGTTTTCATCATCATCATTATCGTTATGTTTCCCACTACTGGACACGGGTTTCTGCTAAGAAGAATGCCATGGTCCACCACACTGACTAAATGACTTTTAATGTTTTTCAGCAAATGTGAAACTTCTTCCATTTGCAGGTTTATCATTATGTTTTCCGTATTGGCTACCAAACATTTTTATCGACCTCGTTGGTGTAACGGTTTTTACTTCTGGCGCTGGATGACGCGGTACCGGGTTCGATACCCGAGATTACTAGTTTGGCAAATTAAACTCTACATTGGTCCTGGCTTGGATGTTCCGGATGCTGCCGTGCAGATAGGATTCCGTTGCTCTGGTGATCATAGAACAGGAAATTCCGCAATTTCAGACCAGGTAATTTGTGTGCTTGCTTCATTGTCAACTTCATCAGCATTTCCGCCCTCGGATTATCGCATTCATCTGCTGCCAGCAGCCTTTCGGAGATCGTCGCTCCATCCGTTTGCCGAGCCGTGGTC